GAGAAGCGATCAGGGACTCCTGAGGGTCGATTACTATTACCATAGATGAGGAGTTTGGGGGCTGTTTCTGGAAACTGCTGATACCAGCTTACATAATAACCACCCCCAATATTGTTACTGCTTCCAGTGCAGGAGATGGTGACCCTCTGTCCTGGAGTCCCAGACAGTGAGGGCTGCTGAGTCAGCACAGACTGGGCCCAGGACCCTGGAAATGAGAAAAACATGGAGAGCATAAGTTTTGTCTAGAAACAAGAGTAGAATCAGAGTCCATATCAGAGGAATCCCACACCCTATTCCTCCTTTATATCTTGTCACCTGTACACTGAACAGTGAATGTGAAGAGGAGATAGGACCAGGCCATGGTGAAGGTCATCCTGAGTTCTGCCTTCTGTTCACGATGCTGAGCAGAGGTTCACCAAAGTCTCTCCCTAGTCCTCTTCATACTCTGAGAAGGGGAGGATCTATCCATGCAAATTAGTTTCCTTCCTGTTTTCTGACTGCATCCTGGGTCCTGGTTCAGACTCCTTTACATAAAGATACCAAGTAAGTGTGTAGGGTGGAGCTGGGTCACTTTAGGGGTGGGAGTTCACAGCTGTGAAGCCTAACAAGAGAGCATCAGGCAGAGCCAGGTGGCTCATTACAGTTCTGCTTACTTCCTGACCCCTCTTGCATGGTCTGCAGTGCCCCCTCTTGTCCAAGCCCATACACATCATCTTGTGACATTCTGATCAGAACCCCTGAGACAGTCAAGCATCCCCACTGAATCTGCCTAGGGAGGCAGGACAGTGAGCTCCTTTTGTGGCCTCCCCAATACTTCAGGGTGGCCTTCTTGCTTTACTCAGACTCTTCATAGTGAATTCATGTGTAGTTTACTTGACACCTCACTGTACAGGACTAAGTTGGTGTCTTCAATATAAATTCTTCTCAGATAAAGATTAAGCATAATTAAGAAGTTTCTGATTTTATTAGCTTGCAGGGTATCATTATGTTTATCCATAAAACAAAAACTTTGTTTCAGAGGTTCATTCACCTTGGAACTTAGTTGTAAAATCTTATGAGTTGCCATTCAGAAGATACTTTGAATGGATATTTTCAAGCTTTCTCAGTTCACATGTTTTTAAATCATATTGCCAGAAAATTACCCAGGATTGTGACTCTGTGTCAGTCCCAGCCACATAGCACTCAGCCACCATTGACTACATGCAATGCCACAGGAACTGTGGACCCTGAAAGAACAGAGATTGCAGAACTCATGAATGTTTTCAAATGTGGATGAAAATAGGCTGTCTCCTAGCCACTGGTGAAGATACAGGTGGTCTGGGCAAGAAAATCAGTTTTTTCTTCATATTTGTTCAATATGATTCAGTCTATTTCACAAGGGTGAAAAAATTCTACCTGAATAATTTTTAAAATATTGCATTTTTAAAATTTATATTTTTTTATTAGTTATAGATGACAGTAGAATATATTTTGATGTATTATACATACATGGAGTATTACTTCCCATTTTCCAGTTGTATATGATGTAGAATTACCTTGATTATATGTTCATATATGCAAATAGGAAAGTAATATCTGATTCATTCTATTATTGTTCCTATTCTCAGTCCCCCTCCCTTCCCTCATTTTCCTTTGTCTAATCCAAAGTACTTTTATTCTTCCTTATCCCCCAACCCTTATTGTGAGTTAACTTGCACATATCAGTGAGAACATTCACCCTTTGTTTTTTTTCTGTGGAGGAGGGACTGGCTTATTCCATGTAGCACCATGATCTCCAGTTCCATCCATTTACTGGGAAATACCACAATTTTCTTTCTCATTGTGTATGAGTAATATTTTATTATGTATGTATGCCATATTTTCTTTATAAATTTATCTCTTTAAGTGAAACTAGCCTTTTTCCATAGTTTAGATATTGTGCATTAATCTGCTATAAACATTGATGTGGCTGTCTCACTGTAGTATGCTCATTTTAAGTTTTTTGTATATAAACCAAGGAGTGGGATAGCTGGTCAAATGGTGATTTCATTTCAAGGTTTTTGAAGAATCTCCATATGGCTTTCCATAGTGGTTGCACCATTTTGCAATTCTACCAGTAATGCATGAGTGTATCTTTGCCAAATTTATCATTACTTGTTTTTTTGATAATGGCTATTGTGACTGCAGTGAGATGGAGCTTCAGTATTGTTTTAATTTTAATT